AGAATAAAAATAATATGAAACAATCTAATCGTCCACAAACAGGATCGTAAGTATTTAATTTATTTATTCGAAATATATCTATCATTTTAGATCTTTGTCTCATAGAAAAATTCATTTTTGTTTTTCAATTAACCTTATTGTTGTTATCCTAATAACTATCATTAGTATTACAACATGGTTTATTTTCATTAAAAAAGCCGAAACAACAGTTAATACAACTACAGCTACAATTGATGCATCTACAACAGGTACAACAATTCTTACCACGTCAACAACAAAAACATCGATTCATGTAACATCGACAACAGAGAGTACAATGTTTGAAACGTCGACAACGGAAACAACAATGTTTACAACATTGATAACAGAAACAACGCCGACAACAAAAATCGCAATAACTACAATGTCGACAGTAGATACAACAATGCTTACAGCGTCGACAAATTTCCATACAACAACAAAGAATGGTAAAGTTTTGTTATAAAAGAAAAAATAGGAACCCACATATTTCTTGGGTCCAAAAAAATAAGCTCCATACCTAAATTCCAAATTTGTAGCTCACTTACGCATCTATATTTTACATAATGACATTTAAAATTATATGACCGTGCAAAAAAATTAATAATTAAATACAGAACAAATCTGTTATGGAATGGGAAGTGATATTTCCAAAACAGAGTAACAGTACTCAGCACCCAGAAATAATACTCCCAAAACAGAACAAAAGTACTCAGTATCTAATAGTATCATTTCCATCATAAAACAACTGTGTTCTATTTTTGGGAATTTTGCGGTGTGGGTATATCAGAAGAATCACTCACACCTACATCCACCCTCTTTTGTTTTCATTATTTTCTAGTATCAAAATTCAGTAAGTGGAAACAAAATGCCATCACTGTGGCTGGTGGAAATGGACAAGGAGAAGAATTAAATCAACTCAGTGGGCCTGAAGGAATATTCGTTGATAAAAACAAAAATATTTTTATTGCTGATGGTTCGAATCATCGTATTGTTGAGTGGACATATAATGCAACAGAAGGACAAATTATTGCTGGTGGAAATGGGCAAGGAAATCGAATAGATCAACTGAGTCATCCAAAAAATTTGATTGTTGAACAACAAAATCATTCGATCATCATTGCTGATCGTGAGAATAGACGAGTGATTCAATGGTTTAATCAAAATCAACAAATTCTTATTGAGAATATTGGCTGTTATGGCTTGGCAATGGATAAAAATGGATTTCTTTATGTTTCTGATCGTGAGAAGAATGAAGTAAGACGATGGAAAATGGGTGAATACAATGAAGGAATTGTGGTAGCAGGTGGCAATGGACAAGGAAATCAGCTCAATCAACTCAGTTTTCCTAATTTTATCTTTGTTGATGAAGATCAATCTGTTTATGTATCAGATGATAACAATCATCGTGTGATGAAATGGAGAAAAGATGCAAAAGAAGGAACAATTGTGGCTGGAGGAAATGGTTATGGAGGAAATCTCAATCAATTGTCTTATCCTGAAGGAGTAATTGTTGATGATTTAGGTCAAATCTATGTGGCAGATTATGGGAATCATCGAATAATGCGTTGGTGCGAAGGAAAAACAGAAGGTGAAATTATTATTAGTGGAAATGGTGATGGAAATCAATCAAATCAGTTGTATTATCCCCGTGATTTATCTTTTGATGATGATGAAAATCTTTATGTTGCTGACTATTATAATCATCGAATTGCAAAATTTGAAATAATTCTGTGAATGAAATTTTGATTTTCAGAAAAAGAAAAAACGTTTTTAATTAGATAGAAAAGATTGAAGAAAAATCTTTTAGAATTTTTTTCTTTAAAATTGAATTTAATTTGATAGTTTTGATTAAAAAAAACTCCAAGAAATAAATGTTAAATTCTTTATCTTTTGTTGAAATTTGCGGAAGATAAGAAAAGAAAATATTTTGTACTTTGAATTAAATTAAATAAAAATTATTCGAGAAAAAGATTTTGTCTTCGATAAAATTTGAAAGCTGTTCGAAAATGAAGAGCAAATGAATCTTCTATGAAAACTGGGAAATAAAACTCGAATTCAAAATGAATTTTGTTGAACAAAGCAAATATTGAAAAGATTTTCATATTGATGAAAATAAAAAAAAATTTCGAAGGAAAAACGAGCCAAGAAATCGAAACAAAATAAACAGTAATAAAAGTTTAAAAAAGATTTGTTATATTTTCCATAGAAATTGAAATAAATATTTAATAAATATTTTATCATATTTAATTCAATTCCTTCAAATCAAGAGATGCAACACCTTTTCTGTTTTGAGGGTGTGAATCCTTTCTCTACACACATCCACCTACACCCTCAAGAACCGAAAATAGGTGTTGATCGAATTTATTCATCTGGGTAATTAACAATGCACTCAATTATGTCAATAAAGGATTTTTTTATTAGTAAGGAGTAACGATAATGATATGTTGTTGTGACATGTAAAACGTGAAAAATGATCTTCTTCATTGAAAGTAAAATTATTATATAGACGAATAAAATTCTTTTTGTATCACAATAATATAAATATTCTTAATTGGTTTCATAAAATAAAAACAAGATTTCTATTCAGAATACATATAATACTTCTTTTTTTACAGAGTGAGAACGAAGGTATAGATATTACATATATCTTTGAACCTCTCACCCTCAACTAATGGAATTATACATGTGGATCATAAAGATCTTAATGGCAATTGATATTTTATAATTATTCTATTGAGTAATATATAGTTTTTAAATTATCTTTCCTTTACAATAATGAAACATCAACAAAACACATTAATTCTATGTCTGACAAACAGAAGAAAATCAATTATTATTATTAGATCATTTATATAGTTCGATATCTCCAACAAAGATGGATGATGAAACATCAAAAACACATAATAATAACGGAAATTAGATTTCAAATTTCTTTTCTTTTTCTTACGCACGTTTTTTATTGTAATACAGAATCCTAATGAGTTTTTAAAATATTAAATAATTAACACGAAACGAACTTTGTATTTTTTTGATTATTTTAAAAGAACATGTCGAAACTATTATTATTTTTCGACTTATGATTGATTGTTCGCATAAGTATATATTGATATTCTCTACTTCTAACAAAAGTCGTAGACTAAGTATTATGTGCAAGAAATAGAACGACACTTTTTCTACATTATTATTGTTATTAAAGGCTTTCATCATAGAACCAAAAAAATATTTACTTGATAAAATGATCCGACGACATATTGAAGACAGAACAGAAAAATATTTATTGTCATCAATAATAGCGTATCTCCAGTCTAATGTCTATTTCAACAAATCCATATCAAATAACTTATACTTGGCGTTATTTTTCGAAGACAGAAAATATTTTCATCGCATATCAAGATAATCTGTATATATATATATATACAATGATATGATGCCAAGACTTGTATTATTCATTTGATATAATTTTTTTGAGGAAGTATTTCCACATGAATATACTTGGAATACAAACGAAGCTTCTGCTTTGTTGTGTGATACTGTTACTGGAAGTATCATTTTTTAGTCAAGTGAACGGACGAGCATTCGATGAATATGGTAGGTTGTACTACTGATCATTATAGGATGAGTCAAAACTTTTTGTACATAATAGAAAAATTTCTCTTTCTCTCTTCTTACAAATCTTAAGATGCTTGATACTAGACATATAGTTCCTTCTAATGTAGTAAAATCATCTCGAACTGTCGAGGCGATTTTTTCTAACAATAAAATCTGTAGAATGATTAACTTATACATCAATACAATAGCAAGTCATACAAAAATTATATATTATTACATTTTATTTCATTGACGGTATATGTTTTTTTGTTCATATAAAATTGTAATTGTCTTATAATTGATCTGCAATATTCCTAACGATTATCTTTTGTGAAAACCATGACAAGATAAAATTTCATCTATAATTTTTTTATATTTTTGAAAGACACCAAGACATAAGTACTGCTCATGCATTTAATATAGTTTATTTAACAATCGATACTTCGTTCTTCACAGAAAAATCTTTTCCAAATGTAAAATCGGAGCATATGTATCGTTAATTTTACATTTATGACTTAGGGTCAGTTTCAAATCTATGTGGAAAAATAGAAAGTAGATGCACTGGTAGTAGCTCGAGGATGTAGATCAGAGATAAGCACAATACATACAACCACACCCTTACATCCTATTGAAAATTTGCAGTTGATTATCGATAAGAAATTGAAATATCAGCGGAGTAGTTGATAATTAGACCTGAATTATGTGAAACCTTGTATTTTCGATATCATAGAGAATATATGAATGTGTTACAGCTGAAGGAGGATGTAGAGACCGTTGAATTTTATTGATAGGTTTTTATGAATGTCTCAGAACTTTTTTCTATTGGAGACATTTTCTTTTTTTATTGAGTCTGTACTTCATTCATAAGCTTCAGAATATAAGATATAAAGTTCTTGCTCACCATTTTCTATCTACGATTGTGATTTGTTTAAGAGGAAACCAACAGTACCAGCATATATCAGTTCGTCAACGACACAGCAGTCTACCGAGACGGTGTCAGCGATGATAACAATTCGTCTGCAGTTGTGTTCACTGACCACGATGGGCAAAACTACATCGACAATCGAACGTACACAGCCTCCTGGATTGATAGTACACGGCAGATTTCAGGCGTCTTCGTTTTCTCCGATGGTGGCAGATATGAAGGGAACTGGGCTGATGGAAAGCGAAATGGTACTGGGACACATAACTACTCTGATGGTAGCATATACACTGGTGGTTGGATCAATGACAAAAGATCGGGTTTAGGTGTACTAACTTCTTTTGACGGTGAAACATACAGTGGCAATTGGGCCGATGATAAGAGAGATGGGTCAGGCACATTACAATATGCTGACGGTAGAACATACACAGGTGGTTGGATGAATGACAGAAAAAATGGTCGTGGCATAATGATCTGGCCGAATCGTAATATTTATGATGGTCATTGGTTTGACAGCAAGATGCATGGATCAGGTGCAATGCTGTATGCGGATCGCAGAATATATACTGGTGGTTGGTTAAATGGTATGAAATCAGGCCCGGGTATCATGAGTTGGCCTAAAGGCGAAAAATGTGATGCTGATTGGATTGATGATAAAGCAGTTTGTGATGGTACGTAGTATTTCGTAAACAGTAGTATATTCCGATGTCTATAGTATGTATGATAAAGATTTGAGTTATTAGTAGAAACATTGTAGTACTTTGAGTGTGATGATGTGGAAGAATGCGTAGTTCTAGGAGATGTATAGACAGATATCCAACACTGAGAGAATCAATTTAGACAAAAGATGAACATAATGAGCTTTTTTTGGCGTTTCTGTAGTAGAGATTTCAAGAGCTACTTACTCACCCACCCTCATCATATTTTAACCTTTTTACTTTGGCAATGAGATCCTTAATTCGACAGCAGTACACCCAATGCTTTTGAGTAACAGTACACACACCTCTATTATTAGACAGATTACAAATAAATAGGTGGATCCCGTTCTTTGCGCCTGTTTCATTGTCACTCTGAACCGAAAACCCTGACCACTATCTAGATCTCCCCTTTCATTTTCTCCGTCATCTTTGATCTCGTCGTATTTTAATTTGCGGTATTTCTCTATCGTCGTTGCTTGATCCACAAATGTTATTGATTACTATATGTAGAAAAACTCAAGTGAATTGGCGCTGATTTTTATAAATTTTCTTTAATAATTAAAATTATGCTATCTTTCCCCCGCTTCAAAAATAACGAATGTAAAACAAGGGCTTCCTGGTGGTCTCTATCCTGTCACGCTCTTTAGAGAAAAACACTGAATATATTGAATGAGATTGGACAACGAAAAATATACTACCTAATGATTTATATCTGACGCTTATTTCGCGCATAACTCTATTAAATGTCATGGTACCAAGTGGAAAATTTACCATAGCTTCTCCATTGCACCACAAACATATACTTCATAATTCAGACAATTTGTATGTGGCTCACGAGAAAACGCTTTGTGAGAACACATCTCTACAGATTCACTTTTAATCGGTTAGTCTATTCGCAGCTCCATTCTCTTCAAAATCACTGATGCGGAAATCGATCTCAGTTTCCTTTTTATGATTAAAAGAAATGATGATGGTTTGATTTCTATTTTATCTTTTAGCCATTTGTGTTCCACAATGTTCGAATGGTGGAAAATGCACTGGACCAAACTCTTGTACCGTAAGTCGAAAATTCATCTGTGTTTCAGAGGTAACTCATTCATTCTTTGTTTGTTTAGTGTACATCATTATGGACTGGACCTCGCTGTGAAACACGTATGTATTCATTTTTTGTTCACTTTACTATAAATGGATGTAGGTGCAGGTGTGAATTGAGAGTATAGATAATCACACCCATACGCACACCCTCAATTCAAATCACTTTTTTTATTGGCAAATGTTCTAAAATATTTCTTGTTTTCAAATTTTTATCTAACAAAGAACAAATCAGCAGAATCTTTTAATCATTTTTCTTTTCATTCCTTTTCTTTTCGAATTAGATTTTTCTCAATTTGCTTCAGAAATGAATTATCTTTCAATAAAAATGCATTTTCTTGAAAATTTTCATTGTAAAAAATACAACTTTCAAATACTTTCTTCATTTCATTTTACTAGATTTTATTCAAAACTAGAGGCCCCTGTGAAGAGATAAGATTTCATATTATAAGGAAAACTGACTCAGTAAAAAAATTAGTAGTGTCAAACTTGAAAGTTGAATTCAATTGTTCACTTCAAATATTAAACTATTCTCTTTCTATATTTCTCTTCCCTCCATCGCCGCTGATATCCTGCTTACTCAGTTACTCCTATTCCCCTTACTCATATTATCCCTGTGCTCTACGCTCACCTATTCCCCTGTGCTCTACACTCACCTATTCCCCTGTGCTCTACACTCACCCATGTCCCCTGTTCACTCCCCCTCCCCATTGTCACCTTCTTGCAGATCGATAGTTGAATGCTTAAGTTCAAGTGTGAGGCGTAGCATATATGTAAAAAGTCTGGATAAGAAAAAACGTTTCAGAAGAAAACTTGTAAATTTTAGTATAGATTTTTTAATTTTATTGTGTCTTATTCTTTCCTTTTGTTTTGTTTTACTTTTCTATTTTGTCTTATTCTCTTATTTTATTTTAATGAATGGGCAGATAATAATAATAATATAGGATAGTACGACAATGTAGACAGATGCTCATCGCCGGCTAGTCATATATGTATATATGTATATATTTTTCTTTTCGTTCTGTCTGACCAATCAGACAAAAGTTCCGGAACTGAAACTTTGTACATTATAATATAGATTGAACAAAAAAAATCATATTCTGTTTGATTTTTCATTAAACATGTTTATGATCATTTCATTCAAATTTAATCTGTTCCTTTTCTTCTTCTTTTTCTTTTTCCTTTCATCAAAAATCTTTTGTTTTCATTATTTGCTAGAGCTAAAATTCAACAAATG